TTCCAGCTACTTGGAAGGCTGAGGCGGAAGGATCGCCGGAGCCCAGCAGGTCGAGGCTGCGGTGGCCGGGAGCGGCCACTGCACTCCAGTCTGGGCGACAGAGTGAGACTCCAACTGAAAAAAAAAAAAGCATAAGCATTTTGAAAAAATTGTTTCTTTCTAACTTCCATTGTTTCCGTGGAAAAGGCAGCTGCCAGTCGTTGCTCCTGGAACATAATCAGTCTGAGTTTTCTCTGGCTTCTTTTAAAATCCTCTCTTTCTCTTTGGTGTTTAGTGGTTTTGCTATGATGATGCTTGGTGTGATTTTCTTTGCATTCACCCTGCTCGGGGTTGGCGTTGCTACTTGGGTTTGTGACCTGATGTCTTTTAATAATTTTGGAAATTCTCAGTCATTATCTTTTCAAGTGCTGATTTTTCCTATTCTCTCATTTCCCCCCATCTAAGACTCTGATTACATGGACATTAGACCTTTTTACTATATCCCTACCTCTCCTCGGTTTCTGTCTGTGTCCAGCCCTTGTCTCTCTGTGCTACATTCTGAATACTTTCTTCTGAACTATCTTCCAGGTCACTAAAGCTCTGTTGGCCTGGATCTAATCTGCTTTTAAACCCACCTATTGACTTTTTTTTTTTTTTGAGTTCGAGTCTCACTCTGTCGCCTAGGCTAGAGTGCAGTGGCATACTCACGGCCACCCCAGTGTCGACCTGCTGGGCTCAGGTGATCCTTCTGCCTTAGCCTTCCAAGTAGCTGGGACTACAGACACGCGCTACCATGCTCGGCTAACTTTATTATTGTAGAGACGAGGTCTCATCAAGTTGCCCAGGCTGGTCTTGAACCCCTGGGCTCAGGCAGTCCTCTCACCTTGGCCTCCCAAAGTGCTGGGATGACAAGTTTGAGTCACTGCGCCCAGCCTGTTGACTTCTGAGTTGAAGTTGATGTATTTTTCCGTTCTCCATTTGGTTCTTTTTAGAGTTTCTAGTTTTCTGCTGAAATCCTTGTCCCCCATCTTAACAGAAACAAGAAAACCGTCCCTGGACCCTCCAGCCACCTCCAGCCACCACTGTCTGCTCCCTCCTGCCCCTCCCCACCCACTCCCCACTCTCTGGACACTTTTTAGTAATTTCTTACTTAACCTTCCAGGAGCTCTTCCCACATTTGAGCACTCCTTTTAATTTTTGTTGATTATTATTTTTTTAATTGGAGTCTCCCTCTGTCACCCAGGTTGGTGTGCAGTGGCATGCTCACAGCCACTTCAGCCTCGACCTGCTGGGCTCAGGTGATCCTTCCACCTTGGCCTTCCAAGGATCACTCCTTTTAAAGAAGATGTTCTTCCTTAGCTTCTGTGACACTTTCTCCGGTTTCTCCTTCTTTGTCTGACCTTTAAATGTGGGAGCGCCTCGGTCAGCCTTTTTCCCACTTTATACTTCCTGGAGAATCACTCACGATATCAGTTGCCATCTACATATCAGTCCCTAACGTTGTGCCTTGCAGCCCAGATATCTGTCCATTTCCACTAGGATCTCACAGGCATCTGGAACTCAGCCTGTCCCAGGTTCAAGGTGAACTTCACTAACTTGCTCACTGGTCTTGCCTGCGTTCCATTCTCTGTCATCTCAGTAAATGACATCAGTTGCCCATGCCAAAAACCTGGGAGTCATTCTCCCACCCTCCTTTTCTTCACCCCCACAACAGTCAGCAAGTTCTGCTGCCGATCTGACTTCCGACTGACACAAGACGTTTCAGTCCCCGGGGTTCTGCCTGGCGATCGAGCCATCCGAGATGGTCATTAGAGGCATTTGAGGACTCCGGATTCTGGATGACTGAACTTCTCTGCTACCACCAGGCGATGTGGAACATCTTTATGAGGTAAGTGGAGATGGTGTGATCTGGCTGAGAGATACTGTCCAGAGCCAGGTGGCCCTGAAGGGGCAAGTACTCCACCCAGCGCCTTGGCTTCTCAGGCCAAATGGCCTTGGCCACCACTCCGTTCCAGTTGCCTGCTCCCTGGTTGCACCACAGCCATCGTCAAGGTCACTTTCCTCTACGCCAGCCGCATCTCTTGTCTGTCCTTCATTCACACGCTCAGATCTTTGACCCTGCCATTAAACAACAACAACAGCAGCTATTATTTCTGCTTGTCAAGTGGCATGCCAGGGTTTTGAATGCACCAGCTCAGTTCATACCTGAAACAAACCAAATGGGTTGATGGGCTTCTTCTTCTCAATCTCTCTGAAGCACAAACAGGTTAAATGACTTGTCCAAGCAAGTGCCAGAGAGGAGACTTAAGCTTAGGGAGACTTGAACCTCTGAACTTCTTTCCTGCAACCCACTAGTTTCTTCTAGGTCTCATGCTCTCCTCAGACCCCACGGCCCTTTCCTGCGTTCGCTCTGACTTCATAGAGAAAGTAGGGCCAGCAGCGTCTCACTGCCCGGCACCTCCACCTCCACCTCCTAGAAGACTTCTCACTTTCCTTGGCTGCAGTGGCAACTTCCAACCTCTGCCTGTACTGTGCTTTCGGTCTTTGCCAGTCTCCTTTGGGCCTTTAGGAGGCCAGCCTTTCTTTCGTGTTTGCCATTCTACATGTTTTATTGGATTCTTCTTTCAGTGAATAAATAGCCCCCCTTCCTAGGGAGGCTTCTGAAGAGTTGTCTCCATCAGCCACTCCCCCCCAGTCCCCTGCCCCTTCCCCAGCCCCCCGCTGTCTGGCCTCTGCCCTATGCCACTCCTCTGGAATCACTCGCTCCAAGATCCTGAATGGCTTCCTTCTGGATAGTCAGTCGACACTCGGGCTTCCTTCCCTTATTGGATTGCCCAGTTATATTCAGTGGCATCTACCAGTCTGCCTTCTTCAAACACGTGCTAACTTTGGCTCCCAGGTGCCCAAGTCTGGTGATTTCCTTCACTGGCTCGCGCCCTGCTCCCCGGTGCCGGCCTTGTGCATGTGCGCGGAGTGCGCTCGCCCCTCCTGCCGCGTCAGTCTACTACCCTGCCTGTCTGCTCAGTCCCTCCTGTCTCCGCTTCTCCAGCCCCGACCTCTCCTCCGAGTTGCAGGCCGCCAGCTTCTGCCTCAATTTGCCAAAAGCTAATTCTTGGAAGGGACCAAGAAGCCACTCTTTTGGGGGAAAGAATGATATGGTTTAGAATAATTGGTATTGCAGAGGGCAGTCTTAACAGCTGTGCAGTGCTGGGGAGTGTTTCGGGTGACTGGTCATCATCGTATCTTCAGAAATACACACGGTGCGTTTGCCTATGTGGCTGTAGGAGTTGGAGGGAGAGAGTCCCTGCCCGAGGAAGAGATGGGAAGGAGAGTCAGCCATGTCTCGACCCGGGTGCTGCTGCCAGACGCCCAGGAGATGAGGACAGAGAGGAGGTGAGACCGAGAGAACATCCTTAGGAAAATACATTTATTAACATCTTATTCAATCATCTATTCAAAAATGCATTCAAGAACACATTCATATATTCTTGTCAGTATACTGATGAAGAGCCTATTTGTTGATTCTATTCATGCAGAGTGTATTCGTGGCTATATACTTGAGCGTCCTTAATATTGTGAATGTTCTGGCGGCTAGATCTTTCGTGTACGTGGAAACAGTACTGAGGAATCTCTTCGGGGTGGGCATTCTGCTGACCATCTTCCCTCCTCTGTGAGCAGCAGCCCAGTCCGTGCTGCCAGCGGAAACTTCTCAACAGGGACCTGGGGCAGAGACAAAGGGAAATGCTGTTAGGAGCTGGTTTTTGACAAATTGACTTTCAACGAGTGCGCTAACAGCTTATTCAGTGCCTGGGGTCCGTCAAGTCCTTGGATCAGGACCCGATAGAAGCCCTCACTTGTCTTCCTGCCATCGCACAAGCACCACTATTTATGCCTTGTGCACGCCAGACCTGCAGCCATCCTCCCGGCCCTCAAAGGCTGCAGCTCTGCTGTGCTTTGGCCTGTCTCACTTTCCAGGGCTGTCCCCTTCTCCCTAAGTGTTGGGCCAGAGCCCCCTCCCTGGGCCCTTGGCCTCTGTCCTTCTGGCCTGCTCTTTGTGATGCCTAAGTAAGGAACTTCAAAAAGTTTTTCATTGGGAATTCTAGTAAGAGGAGTTTGGAAAATGTTTTAAAATTATGTAATACTTTAAGCCCAGGGAAAATGTGGAGAGTAGCATAATGAACAGCTCCTACTTTCTCAAATCTTAACATTTGCCATATTTGCTTCAAGTCTTATTTTTTAGCAAATACAACTTTATTTTTTTTTTTTTTTTTTTTTTTTTTTTTTTTTTTTTTTTGAGTTGGAGTCCCACTCTGTCGCCCAAACTGGAGTGCAGTGGCCGCTCCCGGCCACCGCAGCCTCAACCTGGTGGGCTCCGGCGATCCTTCCGCCTCAGCCTTCCAAGTAGCCGGAATTGCAGGCATGCGCTACCACGCCCGGCTGATTTTTTGATTTATTGTAGAGATGAGGTCTCGCTGCCCAGGCGGGTCTCGAACCCGCGGGCTCAGGCAATCCACTCATCTCAGCCTCCCAAGGCACGGGATTACAGGCTGAGCCACCGAGCCCGGCGCAAATACAACTTTAAAAGAGTCAGTTGACGCTCTCTTCTCACTGCTCCCACTCAGGTGCTGATCTTTTCCATTCATGTGTGTATACTTTTACTGCTTATACTATTTACATACTCAACAGGCAGCGATGTTTTGCTTGAGAGTTTTTGTTTTTGTTCTTTTTTAAAAACAGGGTGTTGCTCATTACCCAGGCTGGAGTGCAGTAGCGTTATTATAGCTCATTGCAGCCTCGAACTTCTGGGATCCAGCTATCCTCCTGCCTCAGCCTCCCAAATAGCTGGGACTACAGGCATGGGCCCCTGCTCCCAGCCTGCTCATGGTGCACCCAGCCTACTTGAGGTTTTTTAACGCCTCTATTGAGATAGAATTTACATGTCCCAAAATGCACCATTTTAACTACATCTCAATGGTTTTTAGTAGGTTTACTGAGTTGTGCAACTATTCCCGCAATCCGGTCGGTTTGTTTTTGTTTAAATCACAGCTTTATTGAGATGTAATTCACATCTCATAAAATCCCTCCACTTAAAGTGCACAGATCAGTGATGTTTCATATGTTCACAGAGTTCTTCAACCATCAGCACCGTCTACTTCTGCAATATTTTCATCACCCCAAAAGAAACTCTGTACTCATTAGCAGTCATTCCCTGCTCCCCACCCCCACCCCTGGCAACCACTAATCTGCTTTCTGTCTCTACAGATTTACCTATTCTGGAGATGTCATAGAAATGGAATTATACAATATGTGGTCTTTTATGACTGCTCAAACCCTAGAATCAATATGGTTTTTTGTTTTGTTTTGTTTTTTGAGTTGGAGTCTCACTCTGTCGCCCAGACTGGAGTGCAGTGGCCGCTCCCGGCCACCGCAGCCTCGACCTGCTGGGCTCCGGCAATCCTTCCGCCTCAGCCTTCCGAGTAGCTGGAACTACAGGCATGCGCTACCACGCTCGGCTGATTTTTTTTTGATTTCTTGTAGAGATGAGGTCTCGCTGCCCAGGCGGGTCTCGAACCCGCAGGCTCGGGCAATCCACTCACCTCAGCCTCCCAAAGGTGCAGGATTACAGGCTGAGCCACCGAGCCCGGCTTGTTTTTATTTTTTAATTAATTTATTTATTTTTCTTTTAGTCGGAGTCTTACTCTGTCGCCCAGGCCGGAGTGCAGTGGCAAGCTCTTGGCCACCACAGCCTCGACCTGCTGGGCTCAGGCAATCCTTCCGCCTCAGCCTTCCAAGTAGCTGGAACTACAGGCATGCACCACCACGCCCGGCTAAGTTTTCGATTTATTGTACAGATGAGGTCTCACCATTTGCCTAGGCTGGTCTTGAACCCCTGAGCTCAGGCAATCCTCTCGTCTCTGCCTCACAAAGTGCTGGGATTACAGGCGAGAGCCACCGTGTCCAATAACTACTGTGTGGGAAACATGGGTCCTGAGATATTTGTGGAATTTTTGTTTTGTTTTGTTTTGTTTTGTTTTGTTTGTTTGAGTTGGAGTCCCACTCTGTCGCCCAGACTGGAGTGCAGTGGCCGCTCCCGGCCACCGCAGCCTCGACCCGCTGGGCTCTGGCGATCCTTCCGCCTCAGCCTTCCGAGTAGCCTGAATTACAGGCGTGTGCTACCACGCCCGGCTGATTTTTTGATTTATTGTAGAGATGAAGTCGCACCTGCCCAGGAGGGTCTCGAACCCGCCGGCTCAGGCAGTCCACTCACCTCAGCCTCTCAAAGGTGTGGGATTACAGGCTGAGCCACCGAGCCCGACTTATATTTGTGGAATTTAATAACATACACAGATAGTTCAGATTGTCGTTTCTGCAACTTCTGGTCTATGACTGTTTTTTGAAAATGTGTTACAAAACAGTAACTAGATATAAAATACGCATGAATACTGGTGTGCACGTGACTGATGTGTGTTCGGCTGTTCCCAGGCAGACCTGCAGGAGGAGGCAGGCTTTGACTAGAGCCTGGGGGGAGAGGGGAAGGCAGAATCGGAAGCCAAGTCTAGTCCGGGTGCAGGACCACGCGCGGTCGGCGTGAGCGCTGGGTGAGGTCCTGAGGGAATATTGCTTTCTCTTTTGCTCCCAAGGCAAGCCCTGATGGAAGAACGGCTGACTGACCACCTGCAGGGGCACATGGACGAGATTTATCACCTCAAACAGAATCTGGCCTATGCTGAGGAGAAAATGGCCTATCTGTCCTATGAGAGAACCAAGGCGATATGGGTGAGGACCTCGTGGAGGAGCCTTTCGAGAAAGGCCCGTAAGAAGGACACAGGGATGAGCGAATCCGCTCTGCTGCTCCCAAACCAAAGCGAGACCCAGATCTTCGAGCCGCGCCCTTCTGGAGGGTTCGATGGTGACTCACGAGTCTGCTTGACAATTCCCGCTCCACCGTCCCCATCGGCTTAGCTGCCTCGCAGTTTTGGCGGGCTTGTCCACGTGGTGGCTGGGCCCCAGCTCCCCCCTCCGACTTCTGCCGTTGTCACTGGCATAGGCGAGCCCCCTGAGAAGCCCTCCTTCAGCCGTGGCTTCCCTCCCCTCACTCTTCCACACCCACAGCTCTGACCCCAGGTCCTCAGTGTCAGGAGACAATGGATGAGGGGGCGTGGCTGAGTTCCACGAGACCGTCACTGTCCTGGAAAGCTGCTCTGTCTGTTCTGACTTCTGGCAAGTGTGTGTGTGTGTGTGTGTGTGTGTGTGTGTGTGTGTGTGTGTGTGTTTGTCTCATGCAGGAGGTCCTGGAGTCTTTCAAGAGCCGAACAGCCAAGCTAGAAACTCTCCAGCAAGCCACCCAAGTGGAGACGATGGAGTACCTCGGAAGCTGTCCCCAGGAGTTTTTGTTCAGATTCACGAGCCTGCTTTTCTCACTGGCCGCCATCCTCCTGGCCTTTGTCTCCACTGTGTGCACCTGCCCCTTGCCACTGGTCAGCTCACGTCTGCGCACGTGCATCACACTGATGCTGATTGGGCTCGGGGCCCTGGCCTGGCAGAAGTGGCACACCATCCCCACCGTGGACTGGCAGGCGTGGGTCCCCTCCAGGTGGAGACTGTGCTCCAGGGACTCCGGGTCACCATCAGAGGGACCCTGAGGGCCAGGAGGGCCACCGACTAGGGCCCTCCCTCTTTCTGGGTGTCGAGGTCATCCAGCAAGTCCTCCCCAGACAGCCACTTCGCAGCTCTCACTTTCTGACACCATAAGCGCCACCCCAATGAGATGGACGCAAACACCACCCGCCTCGCGCTTCCATCTTTCCGTGATCCTTTCGTGCCGTCTGTAGTCAAGAGGCTTGGGGAAGATTAAAGTCCATGAAGCACTGCTCTCCTCCTTAGCCCCCGTGTGCCCTCTCGGGCCCCAGTGCCTGGACACTCAGAAGCTCAAGTGGTCCCAGACTGCAGTAAAAGCCTCTGCGACTTAGTTGGTTTTGGCAAAGAGAAATTGCATTTATTTCACAGGGATGGAGAAGAATGGGGGTGGGGGGGAAGAGGTGGCCAAAGCCCCAGTGGGTGGGACGGGTGGGAGGCAGACCTCATGCAGGTGACACCGAGGAGACAGATGAGACCTCTGTTTTGGAGGCGCTGGAGACTTCAGAGCCATCATCAACCTTCTTCCCAAAAAGCTGCAAGATGCAGTTTCGAAACTGGAAGGACAGAAAGTGTTATTCGGCAGAACAGGGAGGGCGGCGGCCTCGCTAGGGTTAAGGCTTGGGCATTCGCTAAGTGTCTCCTTGATGACTGAACACTTTCCCTTCTTCCATTCCACATCCTGGTGGGGGATGGAAGGAAGCTCAGGGTGTTTCTTGCACGTGGGGATGGCCATCTAAGTCATCTTATGTAGCAGTTGATGGTGACTATAGTGAGTTGATTCTGTCCCCCCGAAAGCTCTGTTCAAGTTAAGGTAAGGTCATGTGTGTAGGGTGGGCCCCGGTCCAATGATAGGTGTTCTAACGATAGGACAGTTTGGACACAGACACAGACACAGACACAGAGGGAGGAAGGCCATGTAAAGACGAAGACAGAGACTGGAGTAGCACATCTTCCAGTCAAGGAATGCTGAAGATTGGCAGCACACATCAGAAGCTGGAGAGAGGCCTGGGGCTGATTCTCCCTCAGCTCCACAGGGAACACTTTGATTTGCCAACACATTGATTTCAGATTTCTGGTTTCCAGAGCTGTGAGATAATCCATTTCTGTGGTTCTAAGCCACAAAGTTTGTGGTCATTTGTGACGACAGCCCCAGGACACTCCTCCAGTGACCAAACCCAGTGCCAGCAATGGGCCATGGCCTGTCTCCAGGCTGTCTGGCAACAGGCTCAGAGGTATGATCGTGAAAAGCGGGAAGACTCATCTTTCATCTTGTCTGCAGCCCATCCACTTGGGGCAAGGTGAGGCCCAGGTAGCACCAATCTAGCCACCTACGTTGTCTCTTCAGCCAAGGGAGACTTAGGGTACAAGGAGGGGTCTGCTCTTTGCTGGTTCACCCCTAAAGAGATCTGGGCCATGTGGATTTCTCAGATTAGATCTCGTATCATCACTGAACTAACTGCAATGCATTGAGGACCCAGACCAAAGGCTTTTCCTAAATATTTCAGGCCTGCTCTCGACTACTTCCAGCTCCCTCTATCAAAACTCTCAAAAACAAAAACCATAATTGTTGACATTAAGAACATAAGAAATGGGCTGAACTCTACAGTTGTCTCCCCTGAAGAGCCGGCAGATGTGGCTGAGGAATTCCATTCACATGTACTTGTTGAGCACCCACTAAGTGCCAGACTGTGTCTTCCGAGCAAAATTCCCTGTCCTCATGTAACTGCCTTCCCGAAAATTCTCTCAGAATACAGTGGGATATGAAAAAGGTGAAAACAAAGTTCAAGAGCTTGAAAAGGTCTACAAATGCAGACATCTGTCTAGGAGGGGAGTTCTGGAAGGGAGAATGGAAAGAATCGATTAAAGACAGTCCTTGGCAAGATAGCTTAGCATTCCAAAAACCTAAGACGAGGTCCCCATGAAAGCCAGAAAACGGGTCCGAGAGAGAGCTGCACTCTCTGCGCATCAGTTGCCACAACAAAATTCCTGGGACTCAGTTGCAGAACTGGTTCCACTTACTACGGAAAAGTTGCCAGGAAGAATGTGTGCTTAGTGAACTCTGCAGACTGTGGACCCGGCTTGTGCGGGTCAAGGCCAAGCCAAAGAAGATGGAGCCATCGAGTGGCTGTAGGATAGAGGAGCAAAGAAGAGCCAATTGGAAGGGATAGATTGGGCCTAGTCAAACGGAAGTTCCCTGCGGTCCTTTCCCATCAACATCAAGTCCCATCGCAGCTGTTTTAATGAAGTATATAAGATGGACTAAGGGAGAGTAAGGCAAATTGCACTCGGAAGATGACGAAGCTCGCCAGGGCCTGGTAACCTGTTGGAGGCATCTGGGAGTCAGTCAGGCGCGGCTTGCTGCTGAGGCCGATTTGCCAGCTAATGATGGCAGTCTTTGGGCAAGACCACTGTACGTTCCCCCGGAACGAACCCATGAACTCATGAAAGCTCTTTAACTGTGGCTCAGCACAGCCAGGAAGGGCCTGTTTTTGTTCTTTTTAAAAATACTATTTTTGGAAACGAGGTCTGGCTCTGTCACCCAAGCTGGAGTGCAGTGGCATGATCACAGCTCACTGCAGCCTCAAACTCCTGGGATCCAGTGATTCTCCCACCTCAGCCTCCCAAGTAACTGGGACTATAGGCATATGCCACCATACCCGGATTTTTTTTTTTTTTTTTTTTTTTTTTTGCAGAGACAGGGTCTTGCTTTGTTGCCTGGGATGGCCTTGAACTCTTTTTTTTTTTGAGTTGAAGTCTCACTCTGGCGCCCAGACTGGAGTGCAGTGGCCACTCCCGGCCACCGCAGCCTCGACCTGCTGGGCTCCGGCGATCCTTCCGCCTCAGCCTTCCGAGTAGCTGGAACTTCAGGCGCGCGCTACCACG